ACGAATTTGTCTTTTATGTACATGTTTTACGTAAACTGTTTTTTTTTTCTGGTAAATATTATTTTGTTGTAGGACAATCAGTTGACAGTGACAAAGAGGATGATGTTTGTGAAGATGATGCGAGTATTGAGGATGTTGAGGATCGTGGTCTAGGAGAAAGTCAGCATCCTTCTGAAGAAACTTATACAACTCAGAAAGGGTCAGCTGCTGATGAGAGTAGCATGCTTCCTGCAGAAGTAAATTTTGAAAAGGAGGCAGAAGTTGCAAGAAAGGTTCTAGATAATCTTATTAAAGCCTCAACTGGATTTCAGCCATCAGTGGGGGGGAACTCGAAGAAAACTGAAGGCACTGAAGAATTACTGAATGCAAGTGATAAAGTAAGCAAAGAACCTACTGTTCCTGGAACGAAGTCCACTGTAGATACCAAAAGATCTGAAAAAACACCTGAAGAACTCAACAAGAGCAAAAGTGATTTGGAGAGGACAATCTTCATAAGCAACCTTCCGTATGATATTGGTAACGAAGAGGTGAAGCAAAGGTTCTCAGTATTTGGGCAAGTGGAATTTTTTCTTCCTGTCCTTCATCCCCTCACCAAGTAAGTGGCATTTCTACATTTTTTTAGGGCTTGAGCTTTAATATCAAGACCATGAGATGTATCAAGATTACTATCTAGTTAATTTAATTGGAAAAACATGCTGGTGGGTTTTGACTGGACAGACGACCCAAAGGAACTGCTTTCTTAAGGTTTGGTAAGACATCTGCAGCTGATGCGGCAGTTACTGCAGCAAATGCTGCTTCTGGTTTGGGAGTTGTAATGAAGGGGAGATCACTCAATGTTTTGAAGGCTTTGGACAAGGATTCAGCTCATAAAAAGGGCCTTGAGAAGACAAGAAATGAGGTTCAAGATCGTCGTAATTTATATTTGGCAAAGGTAATTTGTCCCTTCTTTTCCTGAAAATGCATATAATCATATCATTTTCTGGGAAGAAGGATAACATCATTTTATACAAAAGCAGGAAGGTGAAATTCTGGCCGACTCTCCAGCAGCTGAAGGCGTATCAGAATTTGATATGAAGAAGCGTGAAGTGTATGTTATTCGTCTTTATTTTAGAATTTGTCCATGCTAATTTTTTTGCTGAGTTCATTTTTTTCAAGTTATATGACGATGACATGACCCAACTGTCTTTTGCGTGCTTCAAAAACACACACCATATGTACATTGGATCATTGGTTCTTCTCTGCCTTGATAAATCAATTTATTTTGAGACCCTTTTCTTATAGGTTGGCCCAGAAGAAGGCAGAAATGCTTCGTTCTCCAAAATTTCATGTATCAAGAACTAGAATTATTATTTACAATCTTCCCAAGACAATGTCAGAAGAGGATGTGAAGAAGCTCTGTATAGATGCTGTTCTTTTTCGTGCTTCAAAGCAGCAGCCTGTTATTCAAATGGTTTGCCTACATTGGGTGAAAGTATGTTCATTGCCTTGCATGTTGATGGTTTTCCTGATAGTTACACTCTTTGCATCCAGGTAAAACTCTTAAAGGACGTCAAAAAAGGACAGGCTGTTGTCAAGAAACACCCACGTGCTGTAGCTTTTGTTGATTTCAAAGAACACGAGCATGCGCTTGTAGCCCTTAGGGTTCTTAACAATAATCCAGGTAAAAAGGTTTTTGAAAGAGTTAATTGATTCTATTCTAATAACCATTGCAATCAATAGCAACCTTAAACTGCCATTTAAGAATCAATATTCTCTTGGAGTTATATGATTCATCAAGATGTGGTTATTTTGCATTCTAAACATAATTGTTAGGATTGATTGAGTTGCCCTTGGGTTTCTTCTGCCCATTACTCTTCCTGACTTTTCCTTAACGTTCATTCGAAGTTCGTTAGTTAAGTTTACACCTCCTTGTAGTCACTAATATAATAGTGTCCTTGTGACACAGAAACTTTTGGCCCAGAGTATCGACCTATTGTGGAATTTGCTGTTGAGAACATCCATAAAATTAAGCACAGGAAAGCCAAGTTAAATGAGAGTCATGGCAACTTAGAAGATGGAATGAAGGGGCACAAGAAAGCTAAGTTGGATTCTTCAAATGAAAATCATGGCAGCTTAGAAGAAGGCATGAAGGAACACCGTTCTTCATCTCAAACAGAAGATGCTAACACAAACCGAAGTCATAAGAAAAAGTTGAGAAACATGAAATCTAAGAAAGGCCATAAGGAATCTTTTAAAGAATATTCTGAACTTAGCGAAGGAACGAAAGATAATGTGACTTCAAGAAGAAATAAAGATTCTTCAGCCAAGTTAAAGAATGGGCCAGTTGCAGCTGAGCAAACCACTGAAAAGGTTAGTATCAATATGCGGTGAAAAAAAATCTGCCCTCTATTGAATGTTATTTTCTTTTGCCAAGTATAAGATTTTCTCTCCCCACTTGGTATGTATGCCTCTTTTTAATACCCTACTTCTATTTATGCGAAGCACATATGAATGCTATTTTCTTCTGCCAAGTTGCAGCAGAGAGGTCGACTGAAAAAAGAAGCAAAATTTACTTCAAAAAAGAGAAGAAAACCACAACAAACCGAAGAACTGGAGCCAAAAGAAGAACCAATAGGCACCTCAAATAAGAGGAAATTCCAAAATGCTGGTAAAGAGCAGCAGAAGGAAACAAAAAATGCAAAGAGGAGGAGAGCCGGGGCTTCAGATAGAGAAGCAGAGGATAAGCTTGATATGCTCATACAAAAGTACCGTAACAAGTTCTCGCAGCGAAGTTCTGATAAATCTAAAGACGCTGCGAGTTCTGGAAGTAGAGAAGTTAGAAGATGGTTTGAATCATAGTTCGAAGATTTCTCGGGAATGAAATTTTGCTTGTATACTTAATACTGCTGTTATAAGGGTTCGTGTTTCTGTTATGATTTATTGTCTTAATTGTATCCGGGATGTTAAGTTAGTATAAAGTTGATGTGAGTTTACATTTCACGTTTGCCTTCTGCAATCATAGTCCGATAATGAAAAACTGCAATGCTTCCTCTTGATAGTGTTAACTCTAGTGAGTTAGTAGTCTTTGGGTATTGTTAACTCTTCGGATATTTGATGATTGATGACTTAGTTTCATATGATTTTCAGAGATAACCCGGGTGAGCACAGTCGAGCTAAACAACTAAATTTTGGCGGTTCGGTTCGGTTCCAAAATATTTGGATCCGAAATAACCGAATTGGCTACTTCCGCGACATAATTGTCTAAAATTTATGCTTGTTCAGAGTGAATGTATAATTTATACTAATAATTTTATATATTTTAATTGATAAATGTTTAATTTTAGTCTAAAATTTGTGCTTGTTAAAAGTTTGAAGGAGTAAGAGTTTTATTTTTTAGCTAGAATTCTCTAATTTTACATGTATATGATCAAACCGAAACGAACCGCACCAAATAATAGACCAAATAAGGTAAGCCTTCATAAAATAAATTAAAGTACCAAAAGTAAAGAATCTTGGTGCAAGAAAACCTCCCTATCAAGCTTGCCTAACTTGAGGAAGCATCAGTAGTTGCTTATGCTTTCCACTATAAATACATAATAATCATTTTTTTGATTCAATTATGATTTGATGGTGTTGGAGTGTAAAGACCAAAATCATAAGTTCTGACAAAAGGATGGTGAGAGTGGAAAAAAAATCACATAATAAGAGCGTTCGGTAGAAACCCTCTAAGTAGTATAAGCTTACAAATGCCTTTATATCAATTTTAAAGTTGATGATTATATTGATTACTGCAATTTAATATTAATTATAATTGTAAACAACATTGCTATTTAATGTTTTCTTAATATCGATTATAAGTATAAGAAACGTTACATCAAGAAATTAATGCAACGTTTATTTCTTGAATATTTATCCCTTCATTTCAAGTTCTCTCTCTCTCTCTCTCTCTCTCTCTCTCTCTCTCTCTCTAATATTTCTATTTAAATTGTATACATTTATTTTTGGATAAATTGCATAAAATCCCCTCAGGTTTTAAAAGTGATATTTATCCCTTCATTTCAAGTTCTAGTCAATAATCATCATTTTTCAATATATTAATCATATATGTGTTTATACGAGAGTGTATATAATTGTCATTTCGTGTGATATTAGAGTTTGGGGGGGTAATTTGCACATAAATCGCCTCATCTATACATTAGGTTGCAGTAAACCTCCCTCAACTTATTTATTAGCACCAAGCACCCCTGAAATGCCATTTTGAGAAAGATAAATTGCAAGTCACACCATCTTCCTGGTGATTTTTTTTGGGGGGTGGGGGGATGGGGTGTTAAGTGCTAGTAAATGATTTTTTTTTTTTTTTTTTTGG